AGGAAAATTGCTGACGAACGTCTACGTGACGACCAGTGGCCGGAGGGATAGAGGGAAGAGGATTAGCTGTGAGCATGCCTGCAACTTCATGGGAATCAACGTTCCTGGGAGGAGGTTATTCGCGGAAACAATGTTGCAGCAAGACGGGGCGTGCAAGGCAGCGGAGGCATGGCTGATCACCATTAAGTCCTCGCGGCCGGAGTAACCACTATCAGTGGAAGTATGAGTTCGCCGTTGCGACGCCCCCGGGCAAGGGAAACCACGACGAGAAGACGGAAGGCGCCTACCACCGTCAACGGCGTCACGTTTGCTGATGTGCGTGGGTTGGCTCCTCACGTCGTTGGACGAGGTGGTGTGGCAAGGGATAGATCTGCAGGGTGCATGCAAAGTAATGCCCCTAGCGCATGGAGTGATGCAGCGGTTAGGAATGCCATGGCCCGCTGTCCTCCGCGGCTCTACTTTGTCACGTGAGCCAAGCATGGGATAGGGATATTAGATCGGAGATATATTCGTCGAGGGCATGTACGTAAAGAAGGCGCAGGGTGAGACGAGTGGGAGAGACACAGCTGCTACTTTAACTGCGAACGGCGGTGCCGAGTGGCCTTCTGGACGTTCCCTGACGAGCGTAGACCAGCCAGTGACGAAGGTTACTGTTTGTGAGTGGAGAGGCGTGGCTGATCACCAGTAAGTCCTCTCGGCCTCGTCAAACAACATCTATGGGCATGGCTGGCCACCATTAAGTCCCATCTGCAAAAGAATGGGCTACATCGTCTAGGAGGGGTACTGAACCAAGTGAGAAGGCCGACGATGTGAAGGATAGAGCCTGAACGAGTTGAACTGAGTTTCGGCGTAAGGGGATAGAAGGTGATAGACCAATTTTCCAAATAATGTGGATTAGCAGACATCTTGGATGCATGTATTGGGGCACCGTCAAAGACGTGTGTGCTCAGACGATGATTCCGAAGGTTTGCGGATGACGGTGTTGCTTCCGAGGGTCGCCGATGTGGTCTTCGTAATCGCGGGTGGTGGTGGGCGCCTCAAAGGGGCTGGAGACCATGCTGGCGATCCCTCCTGCGTTTGTGTTGAAGGTCTGAAGCAAACCGGGCGAAGATTCGCGAATTCATCGTTAAATGCTGGGAGACGTCGCTCTGCGAGCTGACGCCCCCATCACGGGGGGTGTTTCGCACCACGTCTTCCAGATGTATTCGGGGGTGCAGATATTTTGATGTCAATTGATTTCGGGCTGTGCCTGGGATAGATTGTGGGATAGACGGTGGAACATGGATAGAATTTCGTGTGCTGTTGCTGTCTGGGCTTACAGGGCAATGTGACAGCAACACAAGCACACTGTACATTCATTCACCTTTCTCTTTTGTTTGCTTTTTGACTTAGTCTGTGTAGCTGCGCCCCGCCTGTACAGGATTTCTTGCGACCCCCGTGGGATAGTATCTACGTGCACGTTTTCCCGATCGACCAACTCGGAGCTGTACAGTCAGAGGAGTCGAGAAGGACCGTGTAGCGTGGGATAGTCCCATACCCTAACCCTTGGAACGTTCGCTTGGACCCTTTGCAACTCGCAGCCGGAGGCTAGAGGACACTGGGAATAGGTGGGTGTTCAGGTGGATATCTTATTGGGTGTACAACACGTAGCCGGACGGCTAGTGGATACATCTGGTGGATAGGCCATCAACCCCCTGGAGATAGCAACTCTGGGGATCCTTCCGATAGACGTCGTCGGGAGTGGCGTAGGAATACCTCCCCGTTGGCAGGGATACTGCTACTTCTGGAGCAACTTAACACCTTACAACTGTATATAACCAACTTCCTTGTCTACTTGGGTCTGAGCAACCGGAATAGTGGACACAGTTTTTCAGTTCTTCGACGGTTGCGTTTTCGGACGCATCGCACAAACCCTAAACCCTAAGCCCGAGAGCTGTGGCATCAGCAATGCTCGCTTCCTTTTCCAGGGGCAGCTATCACTGCTTCTGGGTTTCATTCCCCATTGTCTGAATTACAAAAGTACCTCTGTGGCTAGTAACTAAAACTTACCATCCTTGTGGTCTTTGATCACAGGCTTGGATGTAGCCTGCTTTGGCTCTGCACACTTGGGAAAGTCACATCTGCAGTCTTTGCTCATCCTGAAAGTCTGGATCCTTTCTTCCCTGCAGGGAGCTGCGTATATTAAAAAAAACTAAGGTTTCCAGGTTAGGGTTTGGGTTTAGGGCATTTGGAAACCCACACCTGGTCAGGTAATCCTGATAGTACCACATGTAGCACGAGGCACAAGCTCTCTCGTTTGCAAACAGCTCCAGAAAGTGAATCACTTTCTCCTTCTGTGTGGGCATGGCAGCGACGCCGTTTATCAAAATTAAGGAGCCAAAACAGCTGCCGGCACAAGTGTCGACAGCCTCTGCTCCTGTTTTCTGCAAAGGCGCAGAATCTGAGGCCCAAGCTTCTGGGGAACCCATTATCTGTATATTATTTATTTGTTTATTTTATTTAGATATCTATATATATATGTATTTATATATTTGTAGATAGATAGAGATATATATATATACACCCCCGGGCCGAAAGTTTCGACCCATGGCACATGTTGGATGGCATGCAGACAGTGAAGGCTCCCGCGGAGTAGCGGAGTGCCGAAAAGTAGCGTTTTCCCTTCGCCTGCTAGCGGAGAAATTAATACCCCGTTTTGAAAATATAGTACTATAGTAGCTCCGGAGGAGGCCCCCAGCCCCATTGTGTCAGGAGTCTATGGGGAAGAGGGCGGGGTACGGGTGTAAGAACCCCAAGATGTTGGTGGGTCGAACTATCGGCCCGGCGCAGCATGCGTTTTGGTGGCCAGAGTTTGCTATCCCACCTTTTTGAAGTTTGGGCAAGACCAGTGCTCCCCGAACGCATGCTGCGCCAGGCCGAAAGTTCGTCGCGCTCACAACATAAGACAAGAAGACAGCAGAAAACCCCCTCTCCCCCTTAGACTCCTGCACTCCAAGAGCGCCGGGTCCTCCTCCGGAACATTAAAAATAGTATAAGTTTATTCCAGGGGATTAATTCCTCCGCTGGCCAGGCTAGAACAAAACCCTGATGCAATACTCCGCTGTCCTCCGTCAACTTTGTCGAGTCTTGTCAAGAGCGACGAAACTTTATTCCTGGTCATGCTCCTCACAAGGCCGTTTCCACTAAAAAATCTAGCGTCCAGGACCTGGCCGGCGTCAGCGTCGCGCAGAGCATGCGTTTTTGTGGCTAGAGTCTGCTTCAAAAAGTGCTTCCGGAAGGCAGATGCGGAGTTGGGTGTCCAGGCCAGTTTCCGAGCCCTTTACCATGAGTCCTATGCAGTTGTCACGTCGGAGCTCCGTCAGAAGATTGAAAAGTCGGACGAACCGGCGAGCCGACGACTGACTCAGCCCGAGCGGGCTGAGCGGTTCGAAAAGCAGAAAAAGAAGCTTTCGATCAAAAACCAGACCGAGCCCAGCGAAGCGCTGGTGGACAAGGCTGTGGCGTGCTACGAAAGCAATGAGCTGAGGTATCTGCCCTGGGAAGCATGCACTTCGCGGGAACAGGAAGTAGGCTCCGACAGGCGTAAAGACACCCGCTTCACTGTAGACGAGCATTCCGGGCGGTTGAAGGTGGAGAACAAGGATGCAGAGCAAAAGGCTGTCACTACTTCGGAAGTTCACATCATGCAGGCTTTGCAGCGTCGATCTCTTGCCATGGACCAAGCCAATCTGGTGGAGTATTCCGTGATGCAGCAGTGGAGCGACAGGCTCATCAGAGCCCGCGTGCAGGATGCCCCCGCGGGCTACGCCAAGCCGACCTGGGCCCAGCTTGTCGCTGCTGACAAAAAGCTTTTCAGCGAGCTCAGGGACCTGACCCGTGATGGGGTTCAGGCAAATGCTGGTGCCCGGCCCTTAGACACTCATGTTCCCAGTGTCATGAATAGCTTCGACGTTGTGTGCTTGACGCAGCCCCTACCGTCGGGGTCTTCACGGGCGTCTGATGAGGGCAAGGATGCAGAGAAGCCAGAAAGGCCGGGCCCGCGCGGGCCTCGACAACCCAAAGGCGCCGGAAAAGGTAAGGGCAAGTTCAAATCGCCAGAGATGCCAGCACAGTTGGTTGCATGGGATCCTGTCCAATGAGGTTAGGAACAATGCATGTGTTCGCGGCTTGCATGCTTGCGCAATCCCGAAGTGCGGGCAGCACGGTCATGGAGCTTCCACTTGTCCCAAGCGTAACAAGGCCCCGTCAGAGTGACTAGGCCATGAGGTGTGTGCTGACCGTGTGTCCTCGCGGGGGGAGGACCAGGGACCGCGTGCGTTGGATGCTGAAAAGCAACCATTGCGACCCCGCCTTCGAAGTGTGAGTGTCGGCTCGGATGCTGTTGGGCAACCGATCCCCCGCAGGGTGAATGCCGAAGGGCAATCGCCCCACCGACCGCAGCCCCAGTTTCATGATGGTTCGGATGCTCCTAGGCAACCGAACCCTTCTTCGATGCCTCATGCATCTTTGTCTGAGACAGCGACGTTTGATGCCAGTCATTCTTTGAGTCCTGGTATTGTTGATAACGCAGTCTGCGCATTTGATTCCCTTCCTGTCATTGCAGTTTCAACCAGTCCCCATTCTGTCCGCGACCAAGTACGCCAGTCCTTCTATTCAGGCATGTGCTGGCATGGTGGTTTGACGGGGCTGTACCCTTCCGTGGCGCAGCACCCTAATGCCGTCAGAGCTTTCACGAGGTTGGTGCGCGCTGTATCACCACGGCACGTATTCAGCAGCATCGTTGTGTTGGATGGCTCTGAGATGGGCATTCGTGACGATGCCCAAAACGCATGCCTGCCCGCACTCGTCATACCCATGACTCGGTTTTCAGGGGGCCAGTTGGCTATCGCAAGCCCGCGTGGACAGGTCATCACTCACGGCGATCAATCTTTCCGTGCTCGCTTATGTAGCCTCGAGCAAGGCCCATTGCCATCGATGCCCCAGGTTTGAAGCATGCGGTCATGCCTTCACAGGGTCGCAGGTTGGTGCTGATTGCTCTCTGCCTTCAAAATGTGACGCACCTTGATAAGCAGTCTGCGAGGACTTTGCGTGAGCTTGGCTTCAACCTCCCAGATGCTGAGCCGCCCATTCGCGCTGTGCCAGCCTTCGCCGAGGGTTTCCCCGACCTTAGGCCCCTTGGGTTTAGTTCCTCTAGGTCCCGCCCGCTGTGCCTCATTTCCTTCATGTCCTGAGGCCTTGCCTGCCGTGCGGCCGCAAAGGTTGATGTTCGTTGAGTTGTGTTGTGGATCGGCGGGGCTGTCTTTCGCTTTCCGATCACTAGGATTCCAGGTGCTAGCCATCGATCGTGCCAGCAATCGCCATCGGCCTTTGGTTCATTGTGTGCATCTAGATCTGCGGCTGGACTCTTCCTGGACGTACCTGACGCGGCTCGTCCAGGCCAGGCAGGTCCTTCTTGTGCACGTTGCTCCGCGTGAGGTTCCGTGGCAGGGCCGCCACGCATCCCAGTGCTTGCGAAGCGAAGCTTCTCCCGACGGGCTTCCCGGGTTACCTCCTGCTTGGCAGTCCAAAGTGGATTCGGCCAACGCCGTCTACAGACGCACGTCTGCTTTTTGCATGTGGCTTTGCGAGCAGCGCTCCCAGAATCCTGAGTTCATGACGCATTTTTGTGTTGAGAATCCCGCCAGCTCCTACATGTGGTTGCTGCCCGATTTCGTCGCCTTGCGCTCGAAGTGTTTCGAGGTTTCTTATGACTCTTGCATGCATGGTGGTGACCAGGCCAAACGCCAGGTATTGTGGACTTCAATGCGGGAGCTAGGCACCTTGGCCCGCCAGTGCGACAACAGCCATACCCACCGGCAATCCCCCACGGCAGAGGCCGAGTACCCTGAAGCCTGTTGTTCCAGGTATGCTGCTGCTGCAGCTCTGGCGTTGGGCGCCTCGCACACCATGCCGGCCAGCCCACGCATCTCCAACGAGTCCGCCCGCGCCGCTGCCCATCGGCAACCGCGCACTTCCAGGGCCATCGTTCTTGTGGATGAGTACCAGTACCAGGTTACGGTGCCTCTGCCGTCTGGCCAGGTCCCATCTCTTGATGATAAGAATTGCCTTTGTTGTGGTTTAGGCCCGGTCCTCGCCGGTTCCAAGGTGCTTTGGATTAACTTTGAGGGGGGGGTAGTTTTCCCGAAGCGCCCTAGGCCCGACAGGACGTCACTGACCAGCTTACAGATTTCGGTGAGGGAAGAGCAGCCTCGGTCACTTGCTTAATATGTTTGTCAAATGGAAGCGTTGGGGCAAGGAGCTGGCCGAACAGGAAGAGAAGTTGCATGCTTCCCTCCATCCATCTGTGGCCATTGTCTTGAAGGGTAAGAGGCTCTTGCTTCTGGATCGGATAGCGAAATCCCTTGACTGGCCTGATAAGAATTTGCATTCTGATCTTACCCACGGGTTTCGTTTGGTTGGGGAGGAGAGGCCAAGCGGAGTCTTCCCTCTGGACCCCAAGCCTGCCGAGACATCCGTGGAAGGTTTGATGGAGGAGGCCGCTCTTCTGAAACCTTTGCTGTGGGAAAAGATCTCTCAAAGCCCAGACGGTCCCCACGATCAAGCTCTGTTTGATATCACTCATGCTGAGTGCCACGAAAAACGGTGGTTGGAACCACCCCGGACCTGGAGTGAGCTTGAGGGTCATTTTCAGGGTTCTTGGGTTCCTGTTGAGCAGCGCCAGAAGCTGAGACCTATCGACGACCTGGCCGAGAATGGTGTCAATAGCGCTTTCGCCCCTTGTGACAAGCTGACCCTCAGGGCTGTTGATGAGATTGTGTGGACAGCCTGTTTCCTCATGCGCACGCTCATCGGCCGGAAGGAGGTTCACGTCCAGCTGTCGTCCGGGGGCGTCCTGGCCGGTCCCCTTCACTCCTTTTGGACGGGCGATAAGGCCCGAGCCCGCCCACTGGTCAAAACGGTGGATCTGAAGGCGGCATACAAACAATTGCCGTTGAGCCCTCTTGATCATCGCTTATGTGTTGTCAGTGTTCGCAGGCCGCTCGACCGACAAGTCGTAGGCTACGTGTCCAAAACCCTGCCGTTCGGAGCGGCTGCGAGTGTGACAGCGTTTAATCGCGTCGCTCGTCTCCTTCAAAGAATTCTGCAAGAGGCTCGCATCATGGCGAGTAATTATTTTGACGACTACCCCATTCTGGAGATGACTGCGCTCGCAAGCAGTTGCGACAAGACCGTGCACAACATTTTGTCTCTTCTAGGATTTGAATGGGCGTCGGATAAAGAGGAGGATTTTGCTCAGAGTGCGAGCCTTCTTGGAGTCACGTTAGATCTAACAGATCCCGCGCTTGGGCATGTCAAGGTTGCGAATCGTGAAGAGAAGTGCGCCGAAGTTTCCTCTGCCATTGATGCGGTTTTGGCAAAGGGTGTTCTTAGGGCCTCGGAGGTTGCCTCTTTGTTCGGCCGCATACAGTTCATGGAGGGCCAACTGTTGGGGCGCCTTGGGCGTCTAGCGCTTATGGAGCTCAGGTCTCTTTGTTCAGCTTCGGGCGAGCTTCGCCTTGGCAAGTTTGAGAGGGCAGCCTTTTGCAATCTCAGGGATCGTATGATGTCCGGGCCCGCCAGGGCTGTGCCTACATCGCCACCTGAGGGGTGTGTTTGTGTTTACACCGATGGCGCGTGTGAGTTTCAGTCGGGTCGACCACTCTGCACGATCGGAGGGATTTTGTATCACCGCGTTGATGGGAAGTGGAACACTCGCTTCTTCGCATGCGAAATGCCGCCTGAGTTGGTTCAATCATGGAGTGATGCTGGGAAGCGGCATCTGATCGGCCCGGTTGAGCTCTATGCCGTTGTGACAGCCAGAAAGGTGTGGAGATCCTTTCTGAACTCTGCTCGTGCTCTGTTCTTTGTTGATCACTCGGGTGTGCATGCAGCGTGCGTGAGTGGAACTTCAAGGGACAGTGTGTAGAGGTGTTTGCTTGTCGAGCTTGAGCGCGCCGATGCAGTGCCCATGATTGGGTGGATTGCTCGAGTGCCCAGTCCGAGCAACCCGTCCGACGCTCCCTCAAGGGGGATCTTCGTCTTCCCAGTTTGGGGCACCTGCTCTCGAGAGCATCCGTCTTGCTGCATGTCTGGGAGACTCCTGAGCCCGTTGGAGTTGAAGGGGGATGTCTAGGGACGCGCTCACTCGTCTTCGTGTGATGCGTGTTCTTGGAGGCCCTGTGGGCTCATGGATTTGTCCCGACTTGTGGCTGTGCCATCAAAGAAGAAAAGAGCGCTTGAGTCCTCAAACATGCATGACTCTGTTTTTCTTTATGAGCCTTTTGAGATCACGATTGGATACCATGTTATGAGGATGAAGTTTGAATATGCTTCCCTGCGGTGATTAATTTCCTTTGAGTTTCTCGCCCTTTTTGGAAAGTTGCGATGGCTATAAACATGTATATATATATACATGTATATACATGCATATATATATATATGTGGGTATATATGTATATGTATATTAATTATATGTATATGTATATATATATATATATGTATATAGATCTGCATATGTATACATGCATATGTATGTATGTAGACATGTATATATATATATGTATATATATATATATATGTATATATCTATATACATATACATATACATATACATATACATATACATATACATATACATATACATATACATATACATATACATATACATATATTTGTATGTATAGAAATGTATATGCATATAAATATATTCAGCCAGGGTTCCTTTGTTCTTCTTCTTCCTCTTTTTCCACCTGTCGCCCTCCCCACAGCTTGGCGTTGTTCAGATCGATGCCCTCGAGGCAATAGGCCAACTGAGTTGCAGCTGCCACAGCAAAATTTAAAATCTAAGGAGTGCAACCAACAAGAATGTATAAAGCTCAATGTTTTTGTTGCAATCCTACAGGAGGTTTCCCACTCCCTATCAACCCTAAGCCTACGTGAAGCAGGCTCGGTCTGTGCAGCAAAAGCCCCGTAAGCCTCAAACACTCAACACTGGCAGCTCCGATCACGCTGTGGCTCCCTTTCCGTAGTGGAAGTGCAACGGACATGTGATTTGACATTGCACCAGCCTTGAATTCCGATGTGTTTCGCGCCCTTTGGTCACGATGGATCGGTGACTCCAGCAGCAGTTTCATTCAAAACTCTGGTGCCATTGATGACATTCAGCATCGGGTTAGTCCCTTTTGTGCCCAGATCTTCAAGCATTTCGGCCCGATTGCCTCAGGGCATTGACTCATAGCAAGCACTGGCAAGAGCAGCACGAGCAGCACGTTTGTTTGTTGTGTGTCATGGTCTTTCCTCGGTATCCCAGCAGCGTTTCATCGAACCTTCTGTTCAGCCAGCAGCTCTTTGGCATTGTGCCCTTGCGCAATGCTGCCAGCAATGCCAGTCCTCTCGAAACGATGTGTTCCCGGAATCGTGGCTCTGACCGTTTCCACTCTCACTCTCGCTCTCGCTCTCTTGCCTTATCTGATGGGAGTGCAGAATGCTCTGCAGAGGCCAAGACTGGATTGCAAGCAAGAAACCATTCCGCTCTATCCAACGTTTCCCGGAGCCAGGGTCCGCAACCTTTCTGATAGTGAGTGGATTGCGTCGCGTGAAACAAGCACAACAACAAACTTTGTCCTGGCAGCAATATTAAACGCTCATGCTCATAGCATTCCTGCACTTTGGTCTGTGTACGGACCTCACTTTTGGGATGTTGTCTTCATCAATCCAAAAATGACCCCGACAGAGCAAGCAGAGTTGGGCATGCGTGGAATCAAAGCACTGACCTGTGGCGATGGGTTCAACAAGGTCTACGACATCAACTACAAATGTGTTGCTGGGCTCATCCATGATTTCATGAAGCCCATTGACATTGAAGATGATCCGGAAGATCCTCACCTGCCTGCTTCGAGTCGCTGGAGCGAACTTCAAGGATTGTTGGCCTTTCATGCCGATCTCTGGCTCTCTCCCCTTGTTTTCGCGACTGCTGCATTTGCATATCATGGTTTTGTTTTTGGTCCAACCAAGGGCTTTTGTTTAGGAAAAGCAATGATCAGCGGAGGTCTGGATGACCTGATACGGCAAAAGCCCCAGAAGAAAGCATGTTTACGCTCATTTTATGTCTCGTCAAGAGACTTGCAAACATGTCTTACAATCATCCTATGATGTTGGGCAGGGTGAGCCACGAAGGCAGGAAGCCAAAACCAGGAAGCCACAAAGAGCCAGGATCCACAAATGAGTGTGACATTTGCCAAAAAACTCTCCTTGTAAACTCGATCCGCCGCACAGGCCACACGGACTGAGAGCATAAGTTTGATCCGGCCAGGCCGGCCAGGGAATGACATGCCTGGCAAAAACCCAGGAAGGACAACTTTTATCATGTGTCTCCTCCTGAAGTAAGAACAAACCTGCATATGCTGATGTTTTGTTGGAACCTGTTCCAAACCCTTTTGGAGACAAAACCCTTTTGGAGATACAAGCCGGTGGCCTCAAAGAAGCCAAGCCAAAACGATCCAAGCCGACTGGCTTTGTCCAAGGAGTGGTTTGGATCTGCAGAAATTATGGGTTCTTCAAGACGCAGATTCTGCTTGCCAGCGCTTCAGCTGGAGCTGGGCTTGGTGGCGGCACGGCGAAGCGATTCGCCAACAGGCGTTTTTTTCTAGCAAAGGCTCTTGAGGACGGGATGGGTCTGAATGCCTTGACATTTTGGCGGTTGACCTGGTCCAATCGGGTTGCTGTTTCACTGGTCCCAAGGTCCTAGAGTGGCCTGAGTACCCCAACTAGTGGCCCAATTCAGTTCTGTAAGTTGGTTCTCTCCACGAATCCTAGGCTAGCCCAAGAGTAGCTTTAGGGGGGCCATGTGGTCTGAGCTAAGGCGAGAGTGCAGATGCAATTTCTGAATTCTTTTGCATGGCAGGAACTGGCCGAAAAGGATTTAGCACCGAATACTCGATGTGAGTGCCATGCATGGGCAGATCTCTTCTACATACCTCGCGAAGCCTTCGCAAACTGGGCGTCAGCTGCACAAATCGTGGGCTCTTTCCGGCGAAGCAACGATTGGCTCGACACCAGCAAGTACCTCATGATGAATGAAGTGGCTGTCCATCTGTTAGCTCAGGTTAGCATGAGACATGGCTGCGCTGGTGGTTGTCAGCTCCAAAGCATGAAGTGCTGCGGAGGGACCGGTGCTCAGTTGAACGCATCGGATATGGCGGATGCGCAGTGTATGTGTGGCCATCGTGTAGACCTCCGAGATTCGAACGTCCTCAACAAGCTTGCAGAGATGTGGAAGCAAAAGGGCCTCTACTATGCAAGATCTAAAGCAGGAGCAGGAAGAACTTAGGAATTGCCAGAGCGTTGTCAAAGGGGATGTTCATGCTGTCTCTTCGCTGAAAAGAGACATGTATAGTGTACTGTGAAACATGGTGGGAAACAACGGGGAAGTCTGGGTGTGGGGGCGTTGGCGCTTGAGGCGTGGCCACTGAGCTTGTTCGGCAAGCCCGTCTGAGACTTCTAGAGTAGCTTCCCGATGAGCTTGCGCTGGTCTTTGTTGCAGTCATGTTGCACGCGCAGTTGTGATTTCAGCGCCAGAGTCTGGACCGATTTTGACGCATGCATGTTCGGAGGCCAGAGAAAGAAGCGCACAGCCATCGTGTCCAACCGATCCTGGTTTTGCGTGCTTAGTAAGCACTGTGACGGCGGACACGACCACCTCCCGTGGGGGAAAGTCCTCTCAAACGGCAACACAGCGTGGTCCACAGCCTTAGAAAGTGCATACTCATGGGGACTGAGTAAAGCCCTCGTTCAATGTCTTTTAGATGGCCTGGGACTCCAGCGAGAGAATATGCCTCTCAGCTCGAAGCAACAGAAGCGTAGACTACTCGAGCCTGAGTTTGGCAATATCCAGATCCTGCTCGACCCCCCTGCGGAAGTTCTGCGCACGGTGCCGCCGTGTACTCTACAAGGCGTCCTGGGGCTCCCTAAAGGAACCCGCCTCCTGCGAGTAGACAGGGCCTCTTTCCGAGCAGTGATCCGCACTCCGCTGGACCCAGTGACCTGGTGTCAGCGAGCTATGCAGCTTCCACATCCTTCGCATAGTCTGCAAGACCTCCCCACGCCAGTCGCGCTGGCAAAGTTCCGCACGTATGAGTCTCGCAAACTGCGACGGATTGTTGAGGAATGCGAAGGAAAGGAGACCCGGGCCCGGTGTGGCCTGGACCCTTCAGTGCAGGCAGTGACAGCTCCTAAAAAGTCGGTGGCAACAGAACAACTGCTGTCGAGCGTCCAGCGCCCGGACCTGGACGTTGCCCGCCAAATCCGAGAGGGTTTTCCCCTAGTAGGGTGGTTGGAGCCTTCCAACCTGTGGGAGAAGAGGCTGGAAGTTCCAGCTTTAACGCCCCAAGCTTTGATGGAGGCAGCCCCAGATATAGCTGCAGCGTCTCGTCCCCAAGTTAGTCGAAACGTAGACCCGGCCATAACCTCCGGAGTCTGGGAGGCCACCTCACAAGAAGCCAGCGTGGGATGGCTATCGTTCCAAGACGAACGACAGCTTTCACCAGTCTCTCGGATTTTCAGCGTGCGTTTCGAAGAACAAGATAAGGCCAATCGACAACCTCAAGTCGAGCTTAGTAAATGCAGCCTGTGGCACCACTGAGAAAGTCTCTATGGACAGCGTGGATAACATAGTACAGGCAGTTTTGCGCTGGCTCTCAGCCGAGCTCCCCGATACACCCTCTGATCGCCTAGTAGGCCGCGCCTGGGACCTTAAAAGTGCGTATAAACAGCTCGCAGTGCAAGCGTCGCACAAGCATTTTGCATGGATCTTCGTCACGGACCCCCATACGTCCAGAGTCAGAGCCGCACAATTGCATAGTATGCCCTTCGGAGCAGTCGCCGCAGTCCACGCCTTTCTCAGATGCAGCGAGGCGCTCAAAGCTCTGGCCCGCGGCCTCTTCCTTTTGGTCACCGCCAGTTTCTTTGATGATTTTACCGTAGTGACACGCAAGGCGAGTGCTTCACACGTCGAACTGGTGGTCAAGGCAATGTTTAACAAGCTCGGATGGCTAGTAGCCGCAGAAGAGAAGAAAAACATGCCCTTCTCTGAAGTCTTCGAGACCCTGGGCGTGGTGATCGATCTTAGTGAGCAACATCTGGGACGCGTGAACGTGTCAAATACAGCCAGACGTCTCTCAGAGCTTCAAGAGACCATGGAGTCCATGCTCACCAAGGGCACCACCTCGTTCGTCCAAGCCCAAAGGCTGCGAGGACGCCTCATTTTTGCTGAGCAACAATTATGGGGCCGTAACACCCGCCGTGCAGTAATTACAGTAGGAGATGTTCCCGGGTCGGATGATTCCCCGGTTCCTCTTACGCAGTGTCAACGCGACGCATTGAAGTTCTTGCTTCAACATTTATCACCAGGTAGACCCAAAACCTTCGACCTCGTGCCTCGTCCGAAAGCCTTCCTCTGGTTAGATGGGGCGTGTGAGTACACGCCTGGATCAGGAGTCCCACAGTGCGGTTTAGGGGCAGTGCTCATCAAGGACGAAGCTCGTTTTGCATGGGGGCACCTGGTGAGCAAGGACACGGCGCAGAAGTGGTCCGTTCGAGCCGGGAAACAACAGCTTGTGTTCGAGTGCGAACTACTCCCATACCTGCTTAGTCTGCAAAGATGGTATGAGCATTTGCGTGGCACCGACTTGTTTGTCTTCATCGACAACAACGGAGCCCGATCTTCCTTGGTCAAAGCCTTCACTCGAGTCGAGGAAGGAGCCAACATCATACACCAAGCCATCGAGCTGGAGGAGCAAATGCACGTTCGTGCTGCAATGTTTCGCGTGCCCTCCCATTCCAACATAGCAGATGGCCCCAGTAAGCCTCCGGCTCAAATTTGTTTGTAGCGTGAGTCGGGAGGGGGGGAGGGGGTAGTGTGTTTTTGTGCCTCTCTTCACACAGGTGAGAGAGGACGTAGTTTTCATGCCATGGATTGGCTCGGTGCTGAGCCACAGCACCAAACTTGCTTGGAAAGTGCCAAGAAGGAGAGAGAGAGATTTTTGAGAGGGAAACATGCAAAGTGGGAACGTCAGTGCATAACAAGATGCATGCTTGTTTGGATGTGTGCCCTGCTGCCAATGTGGGAGACCCTGCCAGAGCATCAAACGGCCCCAGCGCACTGGGAAAGCCGATACCGGGACACCACGCAAGGGCCCCGGTCAGCAAACGCCACCTTAGAGATCAACTGGTCCGTGCAGCACTCGCAGCCTCCCAAGCAGTCTTCGATAGAATACATGACAATGGCTGCAGAGATCTGCACGCAATGGATCCGTGACGCACCTCCAGCAGGGGCCCCAGTAACCGTGCAAGATCCGAGTCCAGCTAGACATAATGCCAAGCCACTCGGTACCTCCCGATCGGTGTGCGTGTTGTGTACACTGCCTGAACAACATGCGGCCCCCGAACAGGGGGAAGGCCGATGCAAGGACGCCACGCATACCCCTCTGTCAGCAAACACCACCTTAGGGATCAACTGGCCTGTGCAGCACTCGCAGCCTCCCGAACAGACCCTGGAAGCCTGGCTGACAGCGGATGCAGAGATCTGTCCACAGTGGATCCGTGTTGCACCTCCGGTCGGGACCTCAGCGCCTGCAAGGTCGTTTGGTCTTGCTCGACACGAAGTCATGATCATAGGTGCTGAACAGTCTGTGAGAGTGATGTGTATACCATGCTGGCATGCGGGATGGGCTGCTACTTACATGTCCTTCACTGGGCATAGCTGCAGTCGGTCTGATGTAGGTGAGAGCATGAGCCATCCGAGAGAGTGTAGTTGTCAGTCCAATAGCATTAGGGCACTCCAGACGCTGCCTGATGCAGGGGAGCCGCTTTCGGCCCCACCACATGCAGACCTCCGCTCCAGGGCAGGACACTCAATTTGCAGTCTGCCTGCACCACATATTTCACCAGAGCGTACAGAGCCGCCAGTATGCAATGCCTGCATGAGCATCTCCACCTCCAGACCTCGGGCTCAAATGAGGCAAACCACGAGAGCCGAGAGAGGTCTCCCTCCTAGGGAGCACCCTCGCTCGCACTACCGAGCAGATGGTCGCCATCGCAGAACGGCCACGGAGCTGAGGCAACGGGGCTGGCAGTCGTGGGAAGGCCACAATGAGTGGCGACATGGAGCGACTGAGTCGACAGGGTGGTGGCATGGCTGGAATTCGTGGACCGAGCGTACCGAATGGCACTCTGAGGAGGCGGAATCGCAGGGCGACGGACAGCCAGGCACCGTCAGTGATGGCCCCTCATCTTCCTCGGCTCAGGCTGTGAAGATCCAGGCCCAAGACCAAGGAGAGCCACACATGGAGGAGGCCGATGTGCCGGCCCCTGCAATTAATCCAGTCGTGGACGGCACCACACCTGACATGATGAACGAGGTACGGACCCCGACAGCTGACCCGGTGGCATCGGAGACAACAACGGACGAGGAGGAGTTAATCCCAGCAAAAGAGCATGCCGCTGTGCAGCATGCCGCTATACAGTGTGGCCCGGTCACGTGTGACCAGGCCACACAGACAAGCGACAACGAGAGGCCAGGAAAGGCTGCAACTGGCAACTACACACCTCAGGGGCTGCCGCTGCAGAGCGTCGCAATGAAGGCGGATGAGCATCCGATTGAGGAGACAAGCGGTGAGGTCTGTGGTGCACGAAGAGGAGGCGACGCACGTGGTGCGGTCAGGAGGGCCCAAACAATCGGCCCCGAGAGGGTGCCGCCGCACCAGGGACTAAATGCTGCGGCAAGGCTACACCTGGGCAAAGCAAAGCAGCTTCTGGGCGAGCTCTTGCCTAGCAACCCGGGGGCGAGCCTCACGGCCTTCCAGATGCAGGGACACTACAAGTTCAGGCACGACCTATACCACAAAGCTCAGCAGGGTGAAGCCTACGACATCCGGGGCCAGCACATCGACAGCCCGCTCCTCACGGATAACGTCGGTCGTTGGATATGGTCACTGGTTGGTGCCCTGCTGACGCATGACAAGCTCGGACAGGTGCAGAGCTGGCAAACAGGAGGAGATCTCGTTGAATCCTGGATGCACTCCCTATGGACGACACAGGGTCAGGCTGAGCTAGACATCCTTGCCGGCGTTTCCCGCCTCGCCAGCCACTTGCACGATGGGCTGCAAAATTTGCCCCGAGCACTGTATCTTCAGCTGCAGTGGAAGACGCATTGGCCAGAGTTTTTTCAGGCGCTCATGCCATACCTGTATAGGCCTGACTGCATTGACGGCCCCCTAGAGGCGAGCCGATTGTGCAACGCAATGGAGTCAATGCCAGCTGTTCAATACATGTCGAGAGTGCCTGCACTGCATGGACTGTGTGACACATGGATCACCCACCCAAAGTGCCCATTGCAAGACACTTGCATTCCCACAGTGCGATCTTGCACCCAGGTCAAAGCTGCCTCCGAGCCACATCCAATTTGTGCAGACACTGCCTGGACATCTTCGGACTCGCAGGCGCGAACCCTTGAGTGGAGACCTCTAGGACACGAGCACCACATAAGACCGAGTGTACCCTGCCGTACGTTGTCAGTGCCCATCTCACTTAGGCAATCAATTGACCATAGAAGGTTGCATAAAGAGGCCCCTAGACCCTTTGGGAACAGGAAGAGGCGACACGACACCAGCACATTTGTTTCACCCTCGGCCCCGTCAGCCCGAAACAGGGATAATGCAAGGATTAGGCTCAAGATGGCAAACAGCCCGCGCAGCCCGCGCAGACACCCTCGGGCACGGGTTCGGCCCAATGGTGAGAGGAGACGGACACGCACTGAGCTAGCCAGACGTCGGGAACAACGTGAACAAAGAGAGACCAGGGAGGCTGGCGCAGGCAGCCGCGGGAGCCGATCAGCCGGCACCACTCAGCGGGACGCCCCAGCACAGAGGGTTCCGGCTGAGGGAACCCGGGAACGCGACACACCAGAGGGGTGGCCGTGGACACTCCTGGATGCGAATTCCGTCAGCGCTCCCACTCCTTCGGCCCAGCGTGCCCAGACGGCCTCATCCTCCAGCACTGCGGTCACCGAGCCTCAGGACCATGAACAGGACCACGACAAGGGCAGCGCGCAGGACAGGAGCCGTACCCCGGCCCGCAGATCAGCCCGAGACCCGATAATCACCTCCAGGACGGATGCAACACCGGACAGTCCTACACGACGTGATGACATTAACGGTGTCCTCACTGAGATCTTGCGAGAACCGGGTCATCGCTACGGGGTGCAAGTCAGACAAGACGGTTTTGCCTCGGCCATCGAGCTAGCCTGCAGCCCTCTTCTGCAGGCACATGGCATCAGTTTAGGGGACATCCGCTGGATTGTTGATGTCAGGGACAGACAGCGCTATCAATGGTGCGACATCCAGGGCTCCTCCCACATACGCCTAATCATGAGCCGGGACCTGCCGACCGACATGGGAGGCACACCCCATTTCTCCTCTCCGACGGCCCCCACAGGGAGTGCCGAAAAGGTGATCGATTCCTTCGTGGCTGGTGAAAATCAGGGCGCAGGTCTAGGAGTTGGACAGCCCAGGAATAACACCAGGTCCCAGAATAGCAGCGATCAGCATATTAGATATGCTGCACAGAAAAGGCACTATCCGACAACTCACATGCGTGAAAGCCACCACATGCACACCCTCTTAGCCAAATCCCAGCCTATCTCCACATCAGTGCCCCCGGAGCATGTCAACCGCCCGCAGGCAGTTATCCTACATGCACGGCCCTGCTGGGGAGCCGGATCTGCCAACCCCTCAGTGGAAGACGATCAGTGGTCGACTGAATCTAGGAGATCTAAAGAGGATTGGCCTAGAGGGGTTTTGCTGGGGTGGTGCACTGCGTTTTCACTACTGATCCGATATAGGAACGAACCTAAGCCGGGCAATAAGTGGATAACGCATAGACGCACTAAAGGAAAGTACAAACGCAGACCCCTCCATACACCCCTCCGAATTCACGACGTTTACCAGAAATTCCTCAGTCACCGCGGCGGTCCTAAGTCCGCCGGCCCTTCCTACTACAATAAGAAGAAGACTACATTCCAAGGCAAGGGTGAGGTGAAGGTTTCCCCCGGGCCCCCCACGGGGGAAGGACCTATACATGCTACCAACGCATGCACTTCCGCAGGTGGGAAGATGGCGGGGGGCGCGCCTTTATGCCGGACACCAAAACTTATGCATATTTGTATCTGGTTGTACCTCAGTTGCGTAATCTGCTGCATGGACTTCCATGGAAGCAGGAACACACAAGCTGCAGTGCATGAGCTAAGTGCCATGACGGCAGCCATCCCTTGCCCTGAAAAGGTACCACCATCGGCCTTTAGTGCAGCTCTTCGCTGCCAATTAGCAGTCAGTAGGAGCTTATGCTATGGTGGCCATCACGGCCAGCGGCCCTTGAGGTCCCACAACCCATCCGCCGACATCGTCTTCCCAGAGGGGCAGCCGAGCTCCTGGAATGGAGCGAGACGGAGGATGAGACAGTGGTACCCCCGGCCTCAAAGAGGCAACGGACAGATGAGACGGCCTCTGGTGATGGCCAGCAGCAGATTGACGGCCCCACGAAGGAGCCGAGGACACCTCAGCAATGGGTGCTCCGTGCAGCGGACACCAGCCAGATCATCGACCTGGACGATTACAAGGAGCCGAAGAAGGCATCAGAGTCCCCCGCAGCGCCGGCACTCACATCCACTCAGATGTGCAAGGCCTTCTTACATGACCTCAGGGCACTACGACCGGCAGACCAAAGACGGCGAGCCCATAAGCTCCTCCAGCACTGGGAGGCAATGGAAGAACGACTTGGAAAGGACTAAAAGGCTGAGAGAAGGGATGAGCCTCGGCCCCGTGTGGGAGCCGCATAATTGTTTAATGGACGTGCCGGGCAGGACGCCGTTTTTCCACAGTGCATTTGCATTCCTGCTTAGCACATGTCTCCTAGGCGTGGCGAGACACAGCTTCATGAATAGAGCCAAAGAGACACCTCCTACGCGACACTCACGACATAATCGACAAACAGCGCCACATTGTACTATATGGAGCCGCGCGCTGAGGCTGCTGTGCGTCCTATGCCTTGGGCAGGGAGCTCGGTCTGCACCTGCCACAGATCACATTGCCGATCACGCGCACACCCTACCGGGATCCAAGAGAGCGCTTCGTAGAGCAGTTCACACAGCTAGAGTGCAGGGAGGGGCTTGGTACCGAGGGAAGTGGTGCACGCGGTCACAACTTCCTGATGTTCAGGTGCGAGCAGCGCAGAGAGTGCCGCTGGATCAGTATAAGAGAAGAGGCGCGCGGGGAGGTAGACACGGGATCGCAAGGATTCATGTCCTGTCCTTGAACGTCGGAGCTCTATCGGTCCTCATGTGGCAAGAACTCCGAGAGCTGCTCAAACAGCAAAGTACCAAATACCATTTCATATGCCTGCAGGAGACGCACCTTAGCACAAGCTCCACATATAAACTGGAAGGATGGTTTGCGGTACACTCAGGAACAGCTGCCAGAGCTGATGGTGTTCTCACCTTGGTGCATCCGAGACACCAAGCAACACACATCCGGCATGAGGAGGTGATTCCAGGTAGAGTCCTGCGCACACAGATCTCGACTGCACAAGGGAGGGTCGAATTGGTTAATTGCTATCAGCACCCACATAATTTTGCACAACGCCCCGAAGTCCTGCGGGAAAAGCGGGCTAAACTCCTTGAAAAACTGAGTGGTTGTGTTAGGGGTCTCTCCATGCGCAACACGGTGGTTGTGGTGGGGGATTTCCAGGCCGAAGTCACTCCACATGCTCCATTAGTCGGTCGTTCAACCTGCCAGACCCCATTCCATGTCGGGGCAGACGCACTGGCCCCGGGGACCTCAACACGTTCCTGGATAATCTCGGTCTGGTTGCCCTTAACACATGGCGCGGTCCAGCCACGCCTACCCAGTACAATTTAACGGGGGGGCGGGGGGCGGGAAAGAGCCAAATCGACTTCATCCTGACCAGAGCCATATCTGCTGATTGGGAAGCCAAGAACGTCAAAGTGACGGCCCCACCAATTGGCAACTGGAGACGGCACGTCGGTCACATGGCGCTTCACACAACCATCCGTCTCATGAACCATCACATGCTCCCCAAAAGATCCACGAACCCCCAGCTGGACAGGCACAAACTGGATCACGAGATACGTAATCGGGAGGAGGGGGCACATACCCTGCAGCTTGCCCTTACGACAGCCCTCAACGCCCTCACGGACCCCACCCCAGCCAACATCAACTCCACCCTTCTTGACACTTGCCAGAACCACTACCCATTGGAGAGGAAACCCAACCCTCCATCCAACCCCATTGTGCAGCACTTATGGCAGAAGCGAAGGGAGGCCGAGTACGTCACCGTACGGCCCCCAGGGGAGCCGGAAAGGGAAAACCTGGAAAACAACCCCTGGTGGTACTTCCAATCCAGACTCTTTCGGGGATGGAAAGCTACGGTTGCCCTGCGGAAGCAAGTCAAAATTGCTGAGAAACAATGCAAGGAAAAGAAGCGCGAAGACATCCTCCAACTACTTCAAAAGGCTGAGCAGGCAGCTGATAACGGGGACCAACGAACCGTGTATCAGGTTGTTCGGAGATTAGCACCCTGGCAACCTAGACAACGGGTCATGATTAAGGACCCAAGCGGCCGACTCCTCACTCTCCAACAGGAGCACGAAGCCCTGGTGAGCTATAGCGAAGATCTTTTCGCTCCGGACACAGAGCAGCCGGCTAGGGAGGAGCAAGGTCTTAACTTGGTTTTCACGGTTGAGGAAATTGAATCGCAGCTGAAGTCCATCAAGATTGGGAAAGCCGTCCCTCCAGGAGTAGCTCCTGCTTCTGCATGGCGATTAGCGGCCCCACAGGTTGCGAGGCTGCTGAAGATGGCATTTGACCAGCATTCTCACCAACCAGGGATCACACTCCCTCTTCAGTGGACCGACGCATGGATAGTCTGGCTCCCAAAGCCGGGCAAAGACCCATGCGAGCCCTCATCGCTCAGGCCAATAGGCCTCATGTCTCCTGATGCCAAAGCCCTTGCAGGGCTTCTCAAAATCAGACTCTATGAGCTGATTCGGCCCCAGCTGCGCAGGGTGCCGCAGTTTGCCTATCAGCCGGGGAGGGATTTGTACGATGCCTTGGCTAGAGTGCAGGTGTGGATTGACAACTTCAAAAGGTGTTACGGACGAGGAAACAGCAGCAAATTCGCCCAAAGGGACAGGGAGGAAAATCCGAACAACACAAAACTCTGCGTCGGGGGAGCCATCCTCAGCCTTGACCTCAAACAGGCCTTTGACAGAGTAAACCGTCAAGCACTAGCCCAGTCGCTTAAAGACCTTGGTGCGGGAGAAAGCATGACGGCCGAGATTATCTCCCTCCTAGACACATCACGGTATCACATTATCAGTGATCAGGAACAAAGCACAGTGGGTACAACGCGAGGCATCCGCCAAGGATGTAAGATCGCCCCCATGCTTTGGGTGGCAATATCGACCCTTTTGCTGGAGCGGCTGAGGGATGCCCTCTCAGGCCCCCACAGACAAGCAACCACTTTTGCCGACGATACCTTAGTGCAATGGCTCATTGAAAACTCCACGGACATTGCCCAACTTAGCAGTTTCATCAACAAACTTCTGGGGGTCATGCAGGACATGGGGCTTTTGGTTAACCTTACCAAAACAGTCCTGCTCTTGAAAGTTTGCGGACCTGGGGCCAGACGCGCGCTCAAGGACTATGTAGTGTATAAGGACGGGAAAAAATGGTGGCGGGCGCGACACCCTGATGGGAGCGAGGCGCTAATCCCCATTGCCTGCTACACTACATACCTAGGGACGCACCTTTCCCTCCAAACGGAAGCGCACAAAGTGGTAGGCTACCGTATTGCTGAAGCTAACAAGAGAACTGGCAAAATCAAAAAGGCGACCAGGTCCAGGAAAGTCTTCGGCCTAGCGCATAGAGTACGCATCTGGCAGGCCTGTGCTGCATCGAGTGCTACATTTGGCCTCATTGCTTTCGCGCCCTCTGCCAAGGCGGTGGCACTCCTCAGGGGTTGGTTCTATCGTCAACTAAGAGCCGTTGCGGACTCACCTGCCCACATCTCGCATGAGACTAACAAGCAACTTCGGCAAAGATTAGGGGTTCAGGATCCTATAGATGCCACTGTGCAACGGATTCGGCATAAACTTGACAAGCTTCGGGTTGCAGAAGCGAGCATCATCAACCAGCCACAAACTCTCCAGTATTGGGAAAGTATGCTACAGCAATACCTCATCTTCCACACAGATAACATCGATGCGGAGCCCGACTCCAGGCTGATCCCGGTGCCCGCGCAACAATCGCAGCCGGTGGCCTGCCCAGTCTGCGGAGTGTACTTCCCATCAAACAAAACAATGAGACAGCACAGGGGAAGGGTCCACAAGGTGTATGTGAGCTCGCACCGGCATGATGATGACATGTATCAACAACAGGATCACTCTGCTGGTGGCATGCCACAGTGCATTCATTGTGGTCTTAAGACGGGTTCATGGGACGCGCTGAGGAATCACATCCTCAACAACGTTTGTGGCTGGCAGATGCCACCCGGCCCCACTCGGGAGGCCGAACAGCAGGACATCGCTACCCCCCCTAGGGGTCACTCAGAAAGGGAGCCACGCATACTTGAAGACACCCATCCCTCGAGCACCATCGCTCGGCAACAACCGGTACAGCCTGCCCAGGAGGAGCCGACGATCCCGTTGCTGCGTAGACCTGAAGTGGCGAAGCAACTACTGCAGTCGGACTCTAAGCTGCAGATCGTCAGAGATCACGCTAGGAGTCTCATTCAGCACTGTGGCTTCTGTGGACAGTGGATTGCTAAGGGAGGCTCGGTTAAGGAGCACATCAAGAGAATGCACTCACACATATGGCATGCAAGTATTGGCAACCTGGACACTGAGTGTGCGCTGTATAAATCTCACCTCACCCGTGACAGTGTCTGCGACCTTTGTGAGGTCATGGTGTACCAACCCGACAGGCACACTCGGAGCTGCACGGTTATTTTCCAAACAGCCTTAGCCACAGCATGGCATAAGGTTGGGGCGCCGGACACGGCCCCCGTCGCCAGGGATGTGAGAACTTGCATCACTGATGAGTTCCTTGCCAGGCAACTCAACCCCGACGTGCACAGGCAGGGAAAAATGGAGGCAGGAGACAGCGAGGTCATTGACATGCTGACACGGCACTGTGGACTTTGCCTTCAGCGATTGACGAATCAACAGGACTGGAGGCGACACTGTGCCAACCAGCACAAGGAGGCCTGGAAGCGAGCTGAGGGATTTGCAGAGTTGGTACACGGTTTGCCGCTAGCTAGACCATGCCGGCATTGCGGAGTGACCTACCACAAAACCCCGAAGGTTCACGCTCAAAAGTGCCTGCCACTCTTGCAAATCGCATTTCTGTCGCGCCATGGACGACCAAGCACTGCAGGAAGTGGCGAACATGTGGGGGCAGCACAGCCCGATGGAACTCATAATGAGGGACAGGCCGACCGAGGAGGAGAACGGCGAGGGGCGGAGATTCCGTCGCAGGGAGGGCAAAGGCCCAGGCAAAGCAAAAAGGGAGCCGATCCCGGCCCCAAACCAGCAGCTGGCAAGGCAAGTGCAAGTTCTAACCAAGTATGTCAGCCAGCACGCCATGGCGCTGCAACTGCTGGAGGCCGACAGAAGTTGGGTTCTCTGGATGGACTCTGGAGCGATGGGCATCATACCTCAGCTGGTCAAGACCACGGCCACCTGGAAGGAGAGCCGAGAGCAGAACAAGTGCACCTGCAGCCTTCGCCAGGCTCTCCTGGGATCGCTCCTGCTGGAGCTGCAAGCTCGGCTTGCGAAGATGGAGGGCGACAAGGCGGCACAGGCGCCACTCATTCAGAGGAAGATGCTCGTAGCAGAACCAATGGCGTGGTCGTACACGAGATGGAATCCGGACAAGAAACTCCAGGAGCCCAGAGAGGGCAACCCGCTCTCTCATCAGGATGCAAAGGAGGCAGTTCAACTGCTGATGCGAGAGGCCGTCAAGCCCAACGTCATCCAGCGCTTCCATGCTCTAGGCGGAGTCAAGGAGGACAGGCCAGGAGCCACGACGTTCGTGCTGACAGTCTCCTGGACGCCGATGCACGGCCCAACATCAACAAGGCACTCCATGCTCTCACGGAGACAGCGGCCACCGCGCTCATAGGAGCCAGGATCCGCCCGGAAAGAAGCCACAAGCCACTTCCAGAGGACCTACAGCGGGCCATCGACGCGACGAGAAGGCAATGAAGCCTTCTCGCCAAAGTATTTTTACTAGTAAGGGCAAGTTGGGTTTGGAGTGTCTGCCTGAGGGTGTGTTGCACCGTGATCTTGCAAAGAACATTTACCCCGGGAAGCCGCCTCACGGCCCCAACATCCCCACCAAGCCTAGCGACAGTGGTCCTGGTTCAAGGAGATCACGGAGCATAGGGGAATGGCTGAAGGGGACAGGTCAGCCAGCACAGGGGGCGGACGCTCAATCCCATAGCCAGGAGAAAGCAGAGGGCCAGGGGGAAAAAGTCACTGATGCACCATGCCCTATGCAACATCAGCAGTGTGTGCTTGAAAACCCATCCAACCTTTGCTACCTCAACTCCATGATCCAAGCCCTGCTGCACCTGTTTGGTCAAGTCAGGCCGCCGGACAAAGCGGGCTTTGGATGTCTACGCCCCATGCTTAATGCGCTGACCAAATGTGTCAAGCCCCAGCAACTAAGCAGGAGAAAGGACTGCATGCAGCTTCTACAAGGCTGGCGTGACCTCCACCAGCAGCATGATGCTGCAGAACTTCTGCAACATCTAACAAAGGACGGGGTCCCTAGGATCTTGCTGGGCAGATGGGAGTCCAGGGTTTCCGGAGTTAGTGAACGGGAGCCGGCCACAGTCCGGGCTTGGAACACGGCGGTGCCTCTGATCCCTTTGCCATGCACAGGTCAGACCACGACACAGCTGGCGCTGAACTCCTGGAGCGTACAGCCGGGACCTCGCAACGAGGAATATGTGACCGCACTGGCTGACGTTCCCGTGATACTCAGTCTACAGCTTCTGCGTTTTCAGGAAAAGGGTGGTCGTATTAAGAAGGTCCGCAGCCCGGTCACCGTCAATCCAGTCATCAGAGTTCCCTTTTTCAAAGACGGCAATACCCAACAACTCAGCACGAGCGAATACCGGCTCATCTCTGGTGTTGTACACACAGGGGACACCCCACACACTGGGCACTATAGATGCTTCTGTCTCAAACCACAGAGCAGTTCTTCTTCTGAGGTGGAGACGATTGCTGAGGCCTTTGACAAAGGAGCCGCAACTTCGGCCCTACAGATGGTAGATGATGGTAGGACGCCATTCAACGCCACGGCTAGGGATGTACAGCATATAAATCGCAACTGGTACATACTTTTCTTTTCGCGGCAATAGTCCGCGCCGCCATGGACGGCGGTAGGTGTCCGGCGCGCCATAATGGCCACACCAACTGTGTGTGTTGCGCCCGCCGAATCACTGACTCAGTGAACGCGTTAGAATGAAAAGATGGCCCCAGTCGTGGGTGTTTCGATTTAGTAACAAAACTGGGAGCAAGCATTCACGAGCTGCCCAGTCGGGCAGTCGAGATGGCGCTGAAGCTGTGACTCTCGTACGAGGTCGCGTGGGGGGATGTTCGTCGTACGAGTCTCGATGGGGGGTGTTTTCGTCGTATGACGAACAGCTCAAAAGTGAGCTCAGTAGTTGTGCCAGTGGCACTAACTGGACGCAGTCTGAATCTACCCCCACGCTTCCGGTAACAAAAAGAGAGGTGTGCCTGTTTTCTTTTTGTTAGTAGGATTGGGCTCTCGTATAGCGATAAGCTTCTCTCACGGTACGTGATCGAGTTTTATCGCAGTGCGAGACACTAGCCTGAGAAGTTTTCGTTAAGACTGTGTCGGTAACCCAAGTTGGGTTTAGACAAACTTCTACACGGGCAGTGTCTGGCTCAGAAGCTTTGTAGCTTAGAGAGCCAAATTCTTTCTTGCCCACCCACCACTCCCTTTGGTTAGAAACCTTCACTTGCAGTGAGCGTGAGAGCTCGAGTCTCACACATACGACTTAGTAAGCCGTTCTGTTCACGAAGTTCAGCCGTAGACAGCTATCAAGTAGCTCCCCCAAAGGGGGGTGTTTTCGTCGTATGACGAACAGCTCAAAAGTGAGCTCAGTAGTTGTGCCAGGGGCACTAACTGGACGCAGTCTGAATCTACCCCCACGCTTCCGGTAACAAAAAGAGAGGTGTGCCTGTTTTCTTTTTGTTAGTAGGATTGGGCTCTCGTATAGCGATAAGAAGGCTTCTTTAACACCCATGGAGCGCATTCTGTCTTGCCCAAATTCTTTCTTGCCCACCCACCACTCCCTTTGGTTAGAAACCTTCACTTGCAGTGAGCGTGAGAGCTCGAGTCTCACACATACGACTTAGTAAGCCGTTCTGTTCACGAAGTTCAGCCGTAGACAGCTATCAAGTAGCTCCCCCAAAGGGGGGTGTTTTCGTCGTATGACGAACAGCTCAAAAGTGAGCTCAGTAGTTGTGCCAGGGGCACTAACTGGACGCAGTCTGAATCTACCCCCACGCTTCCGGTAACAAAAAGAGAGGTGTGCCTGTTTTCTTTTTGTTAGTAGGATTGGGCTCTCGTATAGCGAGAAGGCTTCTTTAACACCCATGGAGCGCATTGTCTTGCCTCTCATAGCGAGCCAGGCAGCTGCCTCGCTGGATACCATCACCCAGGAGGTACAGTGGCTGGTGGCCCATGGTGCAGACAAGAGCCTTGTTGCTCATTTCAAAGCGGGTTATTTCAAACAGGACCACGATTCATTTCACGCTGCTCCTGAGTTGCGGATTCGGAACTGGTGCCTGGCATTCTGCGCCACGCTGTTTTGCGATGCTTTTGTGGGAATGTACAACAATTCCAAATCGGCCGGGCTCTTTGTCGAGGCTTGGATTGTTCACCTACGGTCTTCGGCAAATGGGCAGTTGCTTTTACAGCATTTCGTTTACCTTGGCAGATCGGTGAGTTCGGTGGCTCGCCTTTTTCGGCAGTGCCCTTGTATGGCCTTCTTTCACTGGCAAATTGGGAGCCAAGCTAATTGGCACTGGCTTCATCGTCCTGCAGATTTGCATTCTTGGCTACATCCCGATGATTCGGTTACCGAGTGACAGCTTCGGGACTAGTACATCAGGTTCTAGGCTGGGCTCAAGGGTTCTGCGAGTTTCACTTCTTTTGCCAGATCTTAAGGATCCGTTTCGCTGCTTGAGCCTTCGGGCAAATTTGCACAGGAACCCATTTTATTTATAATATCTTCAAGTCGCTGGTTTCTTAAAGGACACAGCGACCTACATGGGGTTGTCAGCCACCTGCCCCGCCTTGTCTTGAATGCTTTTCAGGCAGCGCCGTGAAAGATTCGCTCCTGGCGTTTCGGGGCCAGCTGGATTTATTTTTGTAACTTTGGGGGTGTTACTTGGGCATCCGGCTTGTTGCCAAGCTTCGAAAGTTGCCGTTGCGCGACGGACGTTCGCTTTACTGCTGTCGCAGGCTCAGCGGAGAATGGTTCTTTGCTGGATTGGCTAATGACGGCTTGTAGCAGGACTGACTTTCTTACAGATTGGCACATTTTCAAGCGTTGCTACGCAGCTTCGTGAATGAGTTTACAGCTCCCGAGTGAGTTGCTTGGCCTGCGCATGCTCATGTCAATTTCATTGCTGCTTTTCAAAGGACATATTGTGTCGGCGTGCGTTTTGCTTACTGGGGGCCTTTCTTGCATGCGCTCGCCACGATGAGCTTTTACAGTTACGTTCAGTAACAGCATTTGCTTGGCTGCCTTCACGAGTGACATTTAAGCTTCCATCGGCTGGTACTTATCACTGCTGAGTTGGGCTGTGTTAATGTTTATCTATCAGTGGCACGTTCGGACGTTTGGGAGCTGCAGTATGGTGAATGCGGTAAATTGTAGGCATTGTGCTTCTTCCTACGCAGGCCTTGGGCTTGGCAGGGGGCATGCTTTACGAGCAGGTCTCGGGGCCCCCCTGCATTTTTCCCACTTGCTGGGCCCGCAGCGGTTTGCAGTGAAAGGTAGCGAGCAGTAACAAACATGCTGGAGTTTTACAGACTTCTGCTTTTTCTCTAGACAGGGGTTGACCTTTACCTTTGTGACATCTCCCTTCCGCTGGGGTTTTCCCTGTCTGCGCCCCCAGCATTTTCAGGTGTAGCAGGGGCCAGCCCCTTGCTTTGCAGCTAGGAGTCACGGCGTCATCTTCGTCGAAACAATCCCATCGCTCGCGCTCACGTTCTCCTCGGCAGGCAGCAGAGCAAACTACGATCAGGCTGGCCTTAGTGGAAAGAATACAGTTGGAGGACGTTTTTCGCAGTTACATCCAAGACAAGTATATTGCGGAGCAGAAGACGGATGTTTATCGGGCGACCTGCCATGCTTTGGCAGGCTTGGCCAGATGGTCAAAAACAAGGAATGACTGGGTTTGTAATGCATGTAAAATGCTGTCTCCCGAGGAGGCACGTTCCTTTTGTGAGGAGTTGGAAAGAAAGAAGATCTAGATCTTTTATTCAGAAGACTGGCGCATTTCTGCTTTGGTATGTCCGACTTGCCGACTTCCTTTCACCACTGGAAGCCCCCCCAGGCTTTGCGGGAACATACCAAGAGCGACATTTCTTCTTCAGACTCCTCACGGCCTTTTATGCTTTGGAGGACATTCCACAGTCGAATGGATTGCTTTTACAGCATTGCCAGATTTGCATGGACAAGCCAACAGTGCCCCCCATGTTCTTACAGCCTCCCACGAATTTTTCGGGGACATGCCAAAGTCATATGGAATGGCTTCTATGGCCTCCCCAGACTTTACGGGGACATGCCCATTTGTGACAATTGTTACGGCTCCCCATGCTTTGCGGGGACATGCCGCTTGCGGAGACATTATTGGCCTGCAATGTTTCATGCGGCCTCCCCGTGCGTTTCGGGAACAGGCAAAAGTCGGATGAGCTGCTTTACTTTCCACAGGCGTGCGGGGACATGCCAAGAGCACGGATCTTCTTCAGCTTACCCATGCTTTTTCTGGGACGTGCCGGATGTGGATGGATTTGTTTTTACGGCCTCCCCAGGCTTTGCGGGGACATGCCAAGTGTATTCGACTTTTGCATCCTCCCCAGGCTTTGCGGGGACATGCCACAGTCGAATTGCCTTTTCAGCTTCCCCGACTTTGCGGGGATTCGCCAAGGTTGACGTTGACCAATATTGATCCTGCCCATGCGCTTTCGGGGTCAGCAAAGTCGTATGGATTCGCTTTTACGGCCTCCCCAGACTTTACGGGGAAATGCCAAGTACATCGACTGTTTACGGCCTCCCCATGCTTTGCGGGGACATGCCAAGTTCGAATCCTCGTTTGTGACGAGACATGAGAATACGTTTCAGCCTCCCCAGACTTTACGGGGACATGCTGAGAGTGACAGCCTTTTAACGGCTTCTCTGAGTGTGGGCAGTTACGCTAAGTGTATCCTGCTACACATCTTCGCAAACAGGATCGTCTCACCGTTTCATTCGGTGGTGGTGCAGCGAGACAGTCTTTGTGGGGCTCCAGCAACAGCTTTGCTGCTTCAGCTTTCTGCCTACACTGCTTCAGCCGTTGCACCACCAGTCAAAAGAACAGTCTCGCTGTGGGCTTGCTTTAGTTTAGCTGGCTGTCGTAATAAAAGACTTGTGAACCCCCCAGCATTCCATGTAACAACGCTCAATCTGGGGCCGTGTCGGGTAGGGGGCGGCTACCGCGGCCTCACACGAACTGGCCGATCCGACACGGAGGGCTGAATGATGTGCCTTAAGGTACTGGCGCTGTGCAACCGTCCTCTATACCATGTGAGGCCATGAGGGTTTGCTTCTGCTCGGCGCACGGCTCGGCCAAGGGCCCGCTTGACACCCGAGCTCGCCTGAGGGTGCCTAGCTGGCTCCACAGGAACAGCAAGAATGAGGGAGGGTGGCGCAGTAACTCACGCAGAGCCAGTGCGCCGCCAGCCCTGCTCCGCAGTGGCCTCCACTGGCTCGTGGCCGGGACCTGGGCAAGTCAGGCGAGTCAGAGTGCAGGGGGGCAGGGCAGCAGCCGCGCAGAAAGGAGGGCGCAAGTGTGAGTGCAACCACAACAGCAAAGACAGCCACCTCCGGACGGTCCAAAAGCGTTGGCGGCAACCGGTTGGCCCGAGCCGAGATCGATGGCCTCAATGATATACGAGGGCGGGATGGTCTGCTCCGTGAGATAGGCCTCGTTGGAAGAACCGTGGATCACGAAACCATCAGACAGGAGAGCAGCAATGTCAATCCTCAGAGCCACCTCTGCATCGTCCCTAAAGCCCGAAATAGGCATGCGGCTGCCAGAGGGGCCGTGGTTTGGTTTTTCCGACGGTGTCACGTGGCGGCGAAGCTGGGGCCACGCTCCCACGCTGCGCAATGGACCCCAACCCAGCGGCCAACCCTGGGCACATCCTGGGCAGATGCTGAGTGAGTTGGGACCCTTTGAAAGTCAGCGTGGAGACCTCATCCAGAAAGGCACGGATGCGCTCACCGACTCCTGCGCCCTGCAAGGCTTCAACCAGCAAGGGGGATGGCGCGCATGAGCCTCCAGCGCCCAACACCGTTTTTTTTTTCTCGGAGCGGCAGCCGCCTGCCTGGGCACAAACATAGTGGGCTCCCCAGAGAGGGCGGATGGCGAGGTCTCACAGCTAGGCGGGGCCCACGGCGGTGGGTCCACAGTCGCCACCGGTAACGAAAGGGCTTTCCTTGCACACACCCCTTCGCGCCTCAGGTCCGTGAAACGGTGTCCACATCTCCGGCCCCTACGTGGGAGCCGCCATGGTGGATCACCGACGACGACACGCCTGCTCGACCCTGCAGAGCAGCTGATGTTTCACTGGTGACGGCAAATTGCTGTATACTCTGCTGTCTGAAGCTCTCGTGTGCTTTTATTTTGTTTGAAGGGAAGTGTACATGTACTTTGCGACTTGCACTTGCTAGGCCCTACGGGACGGGGTGCCTACTGACCGCGCAAGGGACGCCTGTTGTTCTGCGAGCTCGAAGAAACAAAAAGTCTCGTCTCCTTCATTCTATCTTTTTCTCTTTCCTTTGCCCTCGCGTGTGCGCGTGGGGGGTAGGGTGATGGGGCGGGAGGTATGAGTTCACTTTCTCGGCCCACATCTTTCCCGTTTTGTCAGCCTCCCAACTGATCAGCGCTCCTCCGTGGCCCCCCTTGGAAGCGACTGGTACTGCTTGCAGAACTTGGCTTTGGTCCTCAGTGTCTCCAGAGCTTCTGCAGAAACCTGCTGTTGCCCATTCTCTGCCTCCTCCAGTTTCTTCCCTGAGGAGCCTCGCGGCATCTGCCCGCGCTTGTTGTTCTTCAAGCTCTTCGGCAGAAAACCTCCGTCTCCATTGCTCTGGCGCGGTTTGAGGATCTACCTCCCACCACCCGATGTCGATCCCATTGATCCATCGGCCGTCGCACGGGGCGCCCGCATTCGGGCCGCCCGCGTGCGTGGTGAGGCACTGGTCCTCGGTAACCGGGTTGATGGCTTCGCAGAAGAAGCACCGCCAGCTGCCGTAGGGGTAAAAGCGGCCTTCGACGTAGGCTCGGTTGGCTGGGAGGGCGACATCGTCCGCCTCATCCGCGGTGCCCGCCTCCATCTCAACCGAGACCTCCTCGTCTTTGACAACCTCAGCTTCCTCCTCCTGTTCCTCCTTGACCAGGGGCTCTTTCTGCTCCCGGCCAACGTTGAGGTGGGACTCAGTGCGAACCTCGGCGCGCATCAGAATGACGTCAAGGCTGTCCGCGGCTGGGTCGCCCGCGAAGAAGGAATCGATCTCCTGAGCATGGAGATCGTCAAGAGGCGTCACCAGGTCTGGCGAATAATCCCGCTTGGAACGACGCTCTGCAAGGCGTTGCTGAACGTCGCTCTTCGGCGGCTCGAGGGCCCGCCCGCGCGGAGCGGCTTCCCGCGGAGGTCCCGGCTCGGCCTCCTCCGTGGGCTCGCTCTTGGGCGTGGACCCTCCACCGCTACTCTCTGGAGCGGGATCCAGCTCGGGGTCATCGCGAAGCCACCCCGGCGGATGACTACCACCATAAATGTGGTGCGACCCGTCTTCAAGCTGGATTCGGTCCCCTCTCTTCAGGAGCGGGACCTTCGAGTGATCGTACCCGTTGGCTTTGTGGTACCGAATCACTCGGAGCATGGGCACCTCCCCATACTCACCGTCCTTTCCTCGGCGGAACAACCGTCCCCGCCAGTCTTGACGAAAAGGGTCAAGAGGTGCGGAGGGGCTGATTTTCAGGTTGGGCGGAAGAGAGGCGCCATGGCAGGCCGCCTGATGCAAGTGGTACTGCACCAGCGACCAAAGGCCAGCCCGCATCCAGGAGCCGAGCATCCATAGTGGCCGTCAGCGCTGGGGCGAGGCTCCTCTGGGGCCGGGGCGGACTGGACGGTCCCGCCTCCTGAAGGCCTGGCGGAACTGCTAGATCCCGCACCCCCGGGGGCATCCTGACCATCGTCAGACACCTCTTCCCCGTCGGCGCCTTCCCCGGCCGCCCGACTCTCTCCCTCTCGGCGCAGTGTTTTGAGGGATTCCTCACGCTTGGTGATCTTTTCTAGCTTCACCATCGCGGTTCCCGCCACCTCCAGTATCTTCGACTGGAGCTTCTGCGCTCTCAGAAGAGCTTCGGACCGCGCGAGGTCCTCCTTCGCGCTGCTGACCACCGTTTGGCCAAGCTCGAGGAACCCTTCCTCTGTGCTCTCGGCCTGGGCCCCATCAGCGGGCTCCTCGTCCTCCTTCACCTTGACCGCGGCTGGAGGCGCCCGCGTGTCGGGAAGATCCGAGCTGGAACTATCTTCCTCGACACCTTCAGCTTCTTGGGCTGCCTCTTCCTCGAGCGAGTCTTCGGCCTCGAGGACATTGGGGCCAGGGACGTTGCGCCTAGGGTACACCTTGGGCTTCGCTGGAACGATCGAAGTCTTAGGAGCCCCTGAGGGACGCCCTTTGGCCTTAGGCGCGGCCTTAGGAGGTGTAACAGGTTGGGCGGCCCCCGCGGCCATGACACGGCCCGCAGGGGCCAGCACAACCGTCGAGGAGCTCGCCGCGCCACTGCTGGCCGCAGCAGCTTGGGACGCTTGGACCGTACCCAGCCTCGGCCCTCGCCCCAACGGCGGGTGGGGGCCCGCACTGGTGTCGCCTAAACTCCTTAGGTCGACATGCTGGATCAACCGATCCACTTCTAACTCAGCAATTAAGACTGAGTAAACAGGCGAGCCTTTGGGGAGTGCCCAGATGCGGGAGATGCGGTGGCTCTAATCTGGCCAGTGAGAGCCACCCCATCCGCTCCCGAATAGATAGGCACTCCGGCGTCCCGCAGGACCGCCAACCGGACTTCGACTATGCAAGTCGATCCGCGGCGGAACCCGCGTCTCCCGTCCTCCCACTGCGTGGGGCAGTGGCCTAGGACGTAGTGCACCCCGAGGCGGCCTCCCGGCCCGCCGCCGGGGATCAAGCCATTCTGAATCAGGCTTGGCACGACATGCAGGTCCGTGCCGTGCCACATGGCCGGGCCATACCGATCTATAAGATCGTTGATGGCGGTCTCACTTAGACCCTCCATCATGAACCCCATAGGATGGCCGCAATCGGCCGAGTGGCCTTGAAAGGCACGCAGGAAGCCAGCGTGCGAGGTATCCAACCTCGGCTTCCGCTGGTTGGCGTCGTGCGCGACCGCCTGGTTGTACTGGTTGATGGTGATGCCGAGTTGCTCGATCAACTCATCAACCGGGTAGAGGCCGCCCGGAGCGAACCGGCCTCTGCAACCAGCTTCGCCGTGCCGCAATGCATCGGACTAGCCTGCGCTGCACGTCGTCGATCGTGGGCGGGCCCCTTCGGCCCTTAGGGCCTGGGCTCTTGCTCTTGCCCCTGCCCTTCGACCCTCCTCCACCCATCGCGGCACTGAGGCCCGCGGCTTTGCTGGACCTCCGATGGGCGAGGAAAACCTGACGCGCCCTTGAGCGGCCAGGACACGGCCCGCTGCAAGGGGCCGGTGTGCAGTAGTGGTAGGCAGCCGCTCCCGCGCGGCCAGGGCACGGCCCGCAGCGGGGCCTTGTGGTTGACCACGAAGGTCCGGGCGACCGATCGGTCGCTCCCGCGCGGTCTGGTCGCGACCCGCAGCGGGGCGCAGTGCACAGGCACGAACGCGGGGAGGGACTACCTACCCTAGGTTCTACAACACACTTGAACCGCTGCGGCGGGGGTTTGGGGAGTTTCCTTAAGGTCTGGGCTTTAAGGCTTCTAAGGCTTCTGCTTCGACCTTGGACCGAACCTCTAGGCCTGCTTGCAAAACACTGGCTGCGAGACAGACGAACGAAGCTGCACGCGACGAACGACGAAAAATCCTTCTGCCCGCAGACCGGCGACCTGGGAAACGGCCCGCCCCAAAAACACCCGCCCTGAACACAGAAACACCCGAACAGCCCCAACATCCTGAGCATCAGAACGCGCGTGGGGTGATTCTGGTCTGAGCGCGCCGCGTCATGGTTCGCGCGCTTGGTGTTGTGCGCACCGCGAACGCCTAAGGCTTCAAGAGCAGACGACGCGCTCTGCGGAGCCGCGACTGCCCCTTTGGCGCACGCTTCGCGCACCGCCCCCTCGGCTTGGGCATCAGTGAAAAACTGCCCATCAATGACCCTACCCGTCCTAACCGTAAGATCATCCACGTAGGCTATCCACTCCTTAGTATACTTAAGGCGCCTACCTCTGCCGGGGGCATAGGCCCTATCAACCACAAAGTTAAAATCATCTGGGCCGTTAATCGGGCCAAAAGTGAGGCCGACAGGGAGATATTTCCCTGATCTTGCCACAATGGCCAACACCTCGCGAGCACGCTTGGTGTTCCTAATCTGATTAAACCCACTAACCGCATCCACGAAGGTATACCAAACCGAACCCACTGCGGCGGCGAGCACATCGCTACCCCGCCGACAATAGTACGTGGAGCGCTTAATTCGGGCATTCACACGGCGGTAGTCAACCACCAAGCGCCGTTTCCTATGCCGCTTGTAGCTGGGCATTTCCTTGGTCGGAAACGGCGCAGATCCCCAAGCCGAGCTGCCGCGGATCAACTGACCCCGCTTGCATTCTTCCTCAAGCTTGTCGTCGACCCACTGCGCGGACTCGCCCCTCAGACTGTGAGGCTGGGACGAGACCGGCGGCCCGGTGGGGATGCAGTCATGGGCGAACTTCCTGACCGTGGTCCTGGTGGTGTCCTCCACCCAGAACCCAGCGGCCTTTCGCCGTATGACCTCCCTGACGGCTGCGATGTCAGCATCGGTCAGCCCTGGT